AGAGGAGAGGAGAGGAGAGAAGAGAAGAGAAGAGAAGAGAAGAGAAGAGAAGAGAAGAGAAGAGAAGAGAAGAGAAGAGAAGAGAAATTTAGCAAACTGGCTGTTCCCAACAAAATACTGAAGAAGTCATCTTCTTGTTTATTTGATTATGGGAACACTAAATCTGAAGTAAATATTTTAGTGCTAAACATTTCAGTCAGGTTCATTCCAAGAATTTCTTAGCATTAGTGACAACCAAGGAACAAAATCTCAAGTACTGGTCCAGAAATATCTGCTGGGGATCAAAAAAAATCAAGATGGAGGTCACAATGCACATCAAAAAGGGACAGGACTTTCTGCACGCAACCACAGCCCTCATTGCGACTTTTTTAACCCTTCCTGCAGACTCCCCTGCATGAAACCAGTATGATTTGGCCAACTGGAATCCAGAAACTGGATGGCATTTTTTTCCCCTGCAGCACAGACATAGGCTTTTGGAGGTCTCCAAGCATGGTGAGACTTATAAAAATAGCGTAACAGTTTCCCTAGGTTTCTCTTGAAAGCGACGATGTGGAAGCCTGCAAACGCATCTGATGTTCAATTTAAGGCAACTCTGTCCAACAAGGGAGACAAACAAATGGATGGATCTTACTCTCCGAGGATGAGATCCACCAGCAACAATGGAAGTGGTATTTACACTCTTGGATTCAGTCAAGAAAATGGCAAACATTTTAGATCGAGAGATATTCCAACCTAAACCTTCCCCTCCCACAAAAGTTACTTTATCTAACTTCTAATGTTTAGCCCTTTTTTCCCTAGTATCTATCAGTACCAGCTGCTATAATAGATACAGCTTCTGTTAACTAGCCAGGACTTAGAAAAACAGTAACGAGTAACTACAGTGTTTAAGGTTGACACTGCAAGGCTTTTGTTCCCATGAATGTTCAAAGAAGCCAAGTTCAGGTTTTGAAATTGGTACCATTTGGATCCTAACTGGAAGAAGCAATGAAGTCGAGGACTAAAGGGTGCGATTCTGATCAACTGCGCCCCAGTCTTTTTACAGCTGACCCACTCCTTCCATGCCTCTGACAGCATGGCTCGTGAAAAGCGGCGGACAGCCACGTTCTTCTGCTCTGCCAGCGATCCCAGCCTCTGCTCCATCGTTCAAATGACCTGATTTCAGGGTGCAAAATCAAGCTCACCAAGGAACCAATGTGTTCTCCTTCTCACACTTTGGATTGCCTCTCATCTGTCCATTCTTGTTTAGTATTTTGCAGAGCTTGAGTTCTTTGTTCATCCACCTGCACATAATCCACTCGTTGCTCTTCAGAGAGGAAAGGCTTCTGCAGAATGGAAGGCAATAAAACGTAAACACGAGGATCTAGGAAAATGCTGGGTTTACATCACTTCCCCTCTCCTCCTTCACATCCTTAGCTGGACTCTGTTTTTCCCAGCTTGAAGATGAGGGGGACATCAGCAAGAGAAGCCATCACACTTGAACTTGTCCCCATTTGTCACCTTGTCCCTCAACCCAGAACAAATCAAGGAGATCTGTGAACTGGCAGTTCATGGAACACGTTTGGCTTTACATAAAAGGAAATGCTTATCTCCATGTATTTGCCTTGATGGGGCAAGGTCAGAATGAATTCCAATTCCAGAGAGTTTCACCTAAAATACGTTTGCAGTTCTGGGTGCATAAACCAAACACGGATAGCCACTTCCTACTGTGGAAACTGTGGTTAGGATGGAGAAACCTTACTCCTGATTTCTACAATGTTTGCCTTTTTTTCTGCACGACTTTTTGATCCTTTCCAAATCCATTTGCATTATTTCTGCTTAGAAGTCTACATTCATGTTTTCACATCCTATTGTGCATAAAAAAATCCACACATATTTTGTATGCAATCTGTCCCAACATATGTTCATGAATTTGGGAAGCCCTTTAACCCAATGTTTCTCAACCTTAGCCATTTTAAGATGGGTGGACTTCAACTACCAGAATTCCCCAGCAAGCCTTGCTGGCTGGGGGATTCTGGTAGTTGAAGTCCACCCGTCTTAAAATGGCTAAGGTTGAGAAACATTGCTTTAATCTAACACGTGTCTTCTTTAGTACATAAACGTGCTTAACAAAATGCATTTAGGAGAATTCCACTGCAAAATTCAGAGAGAATTGGGCTTTAATTCTTGAACTGGTTCATGGTTATGATGAGGACCTGACAAAAGCTTTCCCTATTCCCTACCAAAGTCCTACCTTCTGTACAGGAGACGGAGAAGCAGAATTAAAATCCAGTGCTAAGTAGTCAAGGCTAAACTTCTTTGGCGATTGGAAATCTCCATTATATGGAGATGTTGCTTGGTGTTGCTCCTAATAATAATAATGAAAACAACATCAAAACATTAAATATATTTAAAAGAAGCAAAGATCATGTAATGGATTTATAGTCCGGAAACATAAACAGCAGTAAAAAACAATCAAGGGCACATAAAGAGGACAACCTTTGTTGTCACAGACCAGTCAATTCTATGAGTTGCTCCTTCAGGATCAGGTTACCTGAAGGAGCATCTTCTCGGTATGGACCTAGCGAGATCTTAAGACCCTCTAAAGAGCCCTCCTCTAGATCCACACACCAAAGAAGATGAGGTGGGTCTCAGTAAGGGGGAGATCTTTTTCTGTGGTGGCACAGAATGCCCTTTATAGAATGTCCTCCCCAGAGTGGTCAAGAGCATCATTTTGGCACCAGGTTAGGGTTAGGGTTAGGGTTTCTATTTTCTATTTCTTTCTTTCTATTTTCTATTTTCTTTTTCTTTTTCCTTTTTTTCTATTTCCTTTCTATTTTCCCAGGCATTTTCATTTCAATTTTTAATTGTATTTTAATTTGTATTGTTTTTGCTTCTGAATGACCATCTTGCTACTGCCTAGCTTCTATGGGGTCTTTATTTTGTATTTTACTTGAATTTCACTTGAATTGTATTTTTATTGCAAACTGCCCAGAGAACTTCAGCTATTGGGTTAGTTAATATTTTTTTTAAATAAGTAAATAAATTTGCTTCTCTCAGCAGCCACTGGAAGCAAATCCTAAAAGAAAGAGATTTCTCCCTCCCTCTCCTGCTGTATTCAGAAGTATTTGCCATCCAAACATGAAGGTTTTCTGCCTAAAGATCCCCATGAACTTGTCCACTCCTATTAAATTTGCCCTGTTAGGGACCCGGTGTCTGAAGAAATACTTCATTTGGTTTGATAAAAAAAAAATTATTACAGTCACTGACCAGAATTCTGTGAGTTAACAAATAAAGTAATTAAACAGATTGTACTTCAAATACAGTAAAGATGATACACTGTACATTGTAATAAGCATCGTCTCATAATAAGCAGGCTAGCTAGAAAGAGATTTCTTTTCTTTCTTTTCACTTCTGTTGGCAACAGGGAACTGCTAATATGCAATGGGTCAAAAGGGAGAAAAGGAAAAGCAGGGGTCCTCACTCCAGATCGCTGGGAAGAAGGAGATAAGGAAAGCAGGAAGGAAGGACATGATTGACAGGCAAGTTTTTGTAAAATTTGAATGGATGCAGCAAGCTTGCAATCTTTGCAGACCCCAGAGCCGAAAATCTCATCACTCATGGTCTACTTTCACTGGCAGGATCTCTCAGGCAAGTTCCTATCCTAGTCCTTCATGAAAATGCCAAGGGTGGAATCTGCAATGGTATGTAGGAATGACCTTGGGAGACAGGAAGAAGAGCCACAGCCTTAACAATGTTCTGATAAATGAAATCTTTAAGTCAATTTAAATGTCCCTGTTGTGACTGGGTAATGGGTTCATGTATGGTCACCCAAAGAGAAACCATTTTTGCCTAATTTTGGGTAATTTACTCATTTGTTCAACGACCAAAGTTACAATGGTGCTGAAGGAAGGGACTTATGACTACTCCTCGAAGTTCTGGTCATTGCAGCACTCCTGTGACCAGAACTTCAAGGACTAGTCATAGTGAACAAAATTCAGGTGCTTGGCAACCAGCTCGCACTTACGACCCGTGATTTGGGTAATGAAGGAAAAAGGCTTGGAAGCACTGCGTTACTGTAACCTTACAATAAAGGTAGTGCTAGTACTCATGGTTGGTGCTTCATGTCTGGACTACCTCAAAGGGCTGACATCAATCTTGCAAGTCTGAAAGAACCCCTCCCCACCTTCACTTTTATTCTCCCAAAAGCTAAGGAGGGTCCCTTCTGAGACGCTTTCTCCACTCCCACCCCTCCTTCGGACTCAGATTTCGTTGATCAGACCATTGTTGAGGCTGTGGCTTTTCCTCCCATCTCCCAAGGTCATTCCCACATACCATTACAGAATCTGGGTTCTTTGGAATATACTACACAAGGTTCACTCCCAAAGTGTCGTGCTTCATTTCACGTCTCATTTTGCACTGGAAGGCCCCCCATCTAAGGGCGACCTCCACAATATCCTCTACGCTGACGTTCTATGCAGCAATTCTCTCAGCTTTCGAGTTGAATTTGAAGGGACAGACCTGATCTAAAAAAGTGAGGGATCTCTCTTTGCAGTCAATAAATTCCCCGTGCATCTCTGCCTGATCTTTGTGATCATTTGGACGAGGGCCACCTACGCTTGTGTGCACAACAGAGGTCTGTGAAACTAGAAAAAGGCTTCCCTTATCACTGTGTCAATTAAGCCTTGTGTTTTTCCACGGAATTTCTTCAGTAGGGCAAAGGGGCACTCTCGCCACCCACCCCACTTAAAAAATGGTCCTCTCTGAGCTGTTCCGTTCATGCAATTTGTCAAAGGAGAGCAGAGAAGAGATGTATGAAAATAATTACCATTTGAATGTAACTTCCTTCCTCTTCTCCGGAAACTGAAGTGGCAAATAGCCTTGCTGAATTAATGCAGTCTCTTTCTGGAGAGATAAAGCTTGTTCGATTGCTAGCAGGGGAAAAAGGACAACCCCCAAAAACAAACAAACAAAACAGAAGTCAAGGATGAGTTTCCCCAGATGCTCTGAAATCTAGCCAAAACCTGACATTGCCTGGGCAGGGAACAAACCACCCAGAGCCAAGCACTCTGCATGAGCTCCAAAGGAGGAAACATCTCATCAAGGTCACATCTATATATTATTCATTCCTGCTATTGAATTTGACATTACATAGAAATGTCCAGCCATGGCAGTGTAAGAAACCAGGACGCAAGCATGAACTGTTCAATGATGGTCCAAGGGGTAGCAGACATCCTGTCTGTGGGCATCTGCAGGTGACCCTGTTGTGTTTGGAGCTCCTTCACTTGCCTTCTACAAGCTAGAAATGTTTTGGAGATGGAGATAATTTAATCAGGTGCTATAGCCATGACTCTGTTCTGAATGCCATACAAATACATATACTGTACATTTGCCCTTGGGAAATGCTTGCTTTTCATCCTTTTTTCTTTTCTTCATAAATCACTGCCATACCCATTCGCCAGATACCACCTTTTTCTAGTCCACCTCAATTCATTGAGACATTTACTCCAGGGGAAAGCTAGCCTTCTGTTAGTACTTTCCTATGACTGAATGAGAAACCATCCGTAGTTTCATAACGTGCGTCCTTACAACGTTCTACATTGCTGCTTCAAAGCTGGAGCAAATGAGAGCCCCCTCTGAGGTCCAGGGACTGCAGGGAGAGTGGTCAGCAGGGAACGCAAGCAACAATTACTTGCAGACTCCAAAATGGTTTTTTATATACTTTTTATTGGGGAAAAAAAATTATATAGAATTCAAAACTACTGAACCATAAAGAAAAAATGAGGGAAAAAAAAGTCATGAAAAGATAAAAGAAAAAGTGAGAAACAGTAAAAGTCAAGCAAAGAGAGGAAAAAAGAAAGAGAAAGAAAAATATCTAAAAAAGGGACTTCTGATCTTCTTTGCGCCAGTTACAAACATGATTATTACCATTTCCGCCCTCCCAAATTACATACTGTGGTTCCCTTCTTCCATAAACAACCCTTTTTAATCAGTAAATGCAGAGATCCTCCATTCATTTTTGTTTATTTTCAGCAAAAAGTCCACAAAGGGTTTTCAGTCTTTTATAAACGTAGTTGTAGTTCCCTCCTTAATCAAACAAGTCAGTTTAGCCATTTCTGCAAGTGCTGGCGTCTTCACAGTCCCAGACTCCAAAATTGTGATACAATTTAAAACTACAGTTGTAAACTCACATGTTTGAGCTTTGAAGCAGCAATGTAGGAATTAATTCAAATTCATTCAAAGTTAGGTTTTGGCCTGGCCCTGCTCACTGGATTAATCTGATCCTATCTACTCTTTGCAGTGTGGCCCCAATGTGCCACTCAACTCCCTGGTCCCCCAACTACCATGACTCTCTGTTTTGGTGCTAGTGTAGAGATCAATGCGACCGGCATATTATTAGAATGGACTACTGGTGGCTACAGACTGGTCAGGGGAGAAGAGTGAAAAACAGCCCCGAAGCAACTGTCAGATCAGCATTCCCTGGACCCAGTGATCCTGTTTTTTGTTTTAATCAAAAATCAATACAAAATACTACCAACATGAGAAATGAAACTCACAGGAAAGGGGTTTCTGTCTGCTCCTCATATGCTCTCCATCCTGTTGACATTTGATGTAAGGAAACTGAAATCTCGCAAGAGTTCAGCCTTTTTAAAAGAACTTAAAAAATGTAATTTGGGGGATTCTAGGCACCCTTCAGACGTATTAACTGCCATGGTGGCTGACGACTTTGGGAGTTTGAGTCCTAACTCAATTCCCGTCTGGAGTCATCTCCAACCAGACAACCTCCAGCAGACTGAAACTTCCAAAATTGTCAGCCATCATGACGATCCATTTCTTCAGCACATGGCTCCTTCTTCATAATATACAAAAGCCCTACAGCTGTTTTATTCATGGTGATAGTAGCCATGATCTGCATTGTGCATTTCTGGATGGTGTCCAGCCCAGTACAGAAGCCGGAGCTACTAGACAGCCACGTATCTGGCTTTTCAAGTGACTTTCTTTTGAGATTTTTTTTTATCCCACCTTTCTTATTTTTATAAGTAACTTCAGGCAGCGAACATACCTAATACTCCTTCTCCCTCTTATTTTCCCCACAACAACAACCCCATGAGGTGAGCTGGGCTGAGAGAGAGGGGCTGTCCCCAAACTCACCCAGCCGGCTTTCATGCCTAAGGTGGACCAGAACTCACCATCTCCTGCTTTCTAGCCTGGAGCCTCCACCGCTAGACTTCCCCACCCACTCCAGTCCTCCAAGGTGTCAGAATGAGAAAGAAGAACATGCCCTTTGCATAAGATACCAGAGGTGTCACCATAACTTTTATATTACCTTGGGAAGGATATGCCCAACTTTTGAAAAGAACATCACTTATAAAATAGCCTTTTAGTCATCATGTACTTCTCAGGCATAAGATATTCAAGATATGGATTGTTTTGAATTGCTGATGTTTTGAAGCCAATTTATTTCTGGAATTTGGAATGTAGCAAATGCTTTCCTGTCCCTTATTTTTATGGCTGGGAGAATTTCCATAGAACTGTAAGAAAGTTTGTTTGGAGATGCAATTTACCAGAATCTCCTTGTAGCTCAAGAGTATAAAGACATTTCTCTTAGCAGTCCTAAACTTTAAACATGCTGCAACGATAACTAAAAAACCTTGCAATGAAAAGTGTGGATGTATTTTGGAGGGCAGAGTGAGTTCATGGTTAAAACTAGCTATCATTCAAACATTGTTAACATGGGTGAGGAGAGGTCAACCCAACTCAACCTCCCCTATTGGACATTGCAAGATGCCACCTAGTGACATGGTTCTCGTCTCATTTTGGTTCATTTCTGGAAAGGAGGGATTTAAAAATGTTTTCAGTGGCAATCAGGAGGATTTCAACCCCTGATTTTCCTTCCATTCGAAAAACCTGAAATTACTCTTTGGAAAAGTCGATTTTGGGCTTTTAAGGGTGAGAATGAGACAATGACCTCCTGGAGGCCCCCTTGAAGGAAAACCTACAGGAAGAAAAGGCTGAAATATAGTCACTGCACTGCATATATGAGCGTCAGAGTCATGATTGGCATTGCAAAATTGGTAGTGGAAAAACTGCAGCTTTTATTTAGCCCATGTTAATCCATATCCTGGATCAGAAGGAACAGGGCCAGATGACAGTCCCATTGCTGTAACTGCGCATCCAACTAGAGAATCGAGCCAACAGGGAGGCATGTTTGAATCTTCGTGGAAAAAAAAATTGTGGGAAAGTAAATATTGACGGAGGGGGAATTTTACGTTGGAGGGGTTCTAATCAGCTACCTATTGCTATCTATAACGGCGATCCTGATTTGGGGGAGGGACTTTCAAAGGGGAGGGGTAGGGTTGGGAATAGGAAGTCAATGTTTATATTTGAACAGAGAAAAACTGCACTGCTGTAATGTGGCTGCATGCAACAGGTGGGCTGTGCCCTGTCACAGTCAACACCCACCAACTATATTACCATGTAACAGCTATGCAATTGGGCATTTAGGATGCTGAAAACTCTCCACTAAGTTGCATGCAGGTTTGAGCTGCCCTAGAGAGAGAATATTTGCTGACAGGCAGAACAAATGGGTGGAAAATCACAGGGACCCCGAACTTTACTGGATCTCATGAATATTGACGGACTTAAGAGCAAGCTGATGGTTGAACAGGTGGATCACCAGATGACAGGCTGTCCTTCACTGGAGGAATTTAAGCAGAAGCTAGACATTTGACTGTCAGGGATGCAATCCTGCATCCATCAGTCATGAAAGATGAGACTAAAAGAACTACAAGCTCCATTCCCAATTAGCTGGCTAAGTTTGCATGGCCTGATTACTCAATTCAGCCCATTTCTGGGTCTCCATAGTGCCCTGGACCAGCCTAGGTTTGTACCATGCTCTCAGCTGCAAATAGTCCAACCAAGGTTAATACTAGGCTTATCATGTTAACGCAAACAGATCTGCTGGCTGTTTTCCTGATCTGGGTCAGCGTATCTGTGTGAGTGCCACTTTTGACTCCGGATGCAATTAAGACATTCCTTGATCCTGGCTGAGTGTGCTATGCGTTGTGCAACATTTGTACAGTGCCTGAACCCTGCCTTTATGGCTCATAAATCATGCATTGTAATTAATGCTGTATGTGAAGCGGAGCATTATGGTTTAAAATAAACCATGGTTTAACACCATGTGTAAATCTAGCCTGCATTGTATTAGAAAACTAGAAAATGGAATAAGGTTGGCGACTGCAAGTAGTCCCTTCTGTTCAAGGATGTAAATCACTGTTCAGATGGACAATTTAAACAGCACTTTGATTTAAACTGATCAGTTCTGAGTCCTAGAAACCTCTATATGCAAACTGGCCTCATTCAGTCTCTCCAAAAGTTGCCGCTGTGTTTACTGAATTATTGCACTTTATATAATATACTGAACATAATGGGATGGGCTTCGCATGGCACTACAGAAAAGCCGAGGAGGTTAGCACATTGTGTGAATGCAGCTGCCGGATCTTTCTCTGGCCTGGTTAAGCAGGTTGTGCAAATCCAATCAACGTGTGTGAATCCAGCCCTTTGTGAGTTCCTCCAACCAGAATCAGACAAATAGCAACTAAGCACGTTGGGTAAACCCAATCTGTGATACAGAGGCCTCCACACTGAGATCAACTCTCTGCCCTTGCCATGAGTAAATACTACAAAGTCCAACAGGTCTCAGATCCACTTACTAAGGCACAGTCCATGTCCTGGTTAAGGCAGAATGTTCTCTGATGGTGGAAAGGTTTCGCAGGTCCAGCGGAGGCGGTCGGACTGAGGGTTAGAGAGAAAACAACTGACTGGCCAGAAAAAAGTAACAGCTTCAACTGAAAACTTTCCAGTACAATCCATTGGTTATTTAGAAGAAGCAATATCTGATCCTGTGGGAGTTGAACCTGTGGCAAAACCTGGGGTCCAGACTACAACTTCCACTGTCCCTTACTACCAGTTGAGGCAGATGGGGTTTGAAATGCAAACAATCTGGAGGACATTTGGCTGCCTACAACTTACTTCCCTGTAACCCAAGGCAAGTCAACGAGTCAACTGGCCTGATTTTTCCTGAGCTGCAGCACCACCTTCATAAAGGCAAGAGAAGGTACTACAGTCCAACAAAAGGTTATTTTGGCAGGTCAAGTGTCCTAAAGCACCAGTATGGCCCGAATGACCCAAGTTGCTCCACAGATTTGTAGCTGCTTTGGAAAAGATTATGCTATGTGAGATTCCCACATAGAAAGAATTGGTTAAGTGCTGCAAATTTGGAGCTTCCTTATAAGAAGGTGGGTTCCTCCCTATTGGATATAGATATCTTTAATTGTGGCTCTGAGTTCGGGGGGCAGGAAGACATACCTTTGGCCTACAGACTCTAACATGGAGGCTCCGGATCATACATTTGAGCACTGTCATCAATATTGTTCACTCTATATTTATGGTTCCAAGACAAGGGAATGCAGTTTTTTATGATCCTGCCTTTAGAGTTTGTAGTAGTTTTCATTTGTTGGGCTATTTTTCAATTACGTCCATCAAGTGAATGGCCAAGTTGTTAGCTTTGGAATGGATTAGGGATTCTCCAAATGAAACAGTTGTTAGATTACCTGATTCTTTCTAAGGGTTGATGGTTTTCCATATGGAAGGAATAGGATATCAGAATGACCTGGGGAATGAAATTAGGTTTCTGAAAAGACTTGCTTTTTAAAAAATCGCTTCTGTTGGCTCCCAGGCCATGTGGACATTGGGGAAAATGAGTAAACAGATCATGCGGTTAAGGAGGGTCTGTGCTGGGGATATTCTATTGCCTTTATCTCCTTTGGAGATCAAATGGAAGCTTAAATAGGGAGATTAGAGATAAATGCCACAGACAATGGGAACTAGGGCATACTGTTAGGAGAGTTTATTCCTTCTGCCCTGATCTGATTTTCAGAATTTTAACCATCAGGTGAAACAAGTTAGGCAGAACAAGCTAGTCTGTTCAGAGTCCTGTTGGGATTAATACACATTACAAATCTCTTCACAACTGGAAGAGAAGTAACAAAACAGTGTGATGTTTGTGGAATAAAAGAAACAGCTTATCGTGAACATTATTATAGGTATATTGTTGCCAGGATTCTTCGTCTTGAATATTGTTAAGAGTTGGTTGCCAGACAGAGTTTCAAGAGATAGTTGTGTAAACAACCAACTCAAACTTCCCCGTTATCAATGAAGAGACCCACCTCCTTGTCAATTCACCAAAAGGCTGTTAGAAAAAGAATCAGAAAGTCTCTTCCTTAAAAGACGTAGGGATAATTGGTTCTCAAGTGCAAACAGTTCAATTGTTGGAATTCTTATAATCCTAACCCTTTCATCTCAACAAATCTTGTTAAAGGCAACTCTGTGAGAACTGTGCTTGGAAAGAACAACTTCAAGCTTTAGATAACTGCCAAAGAATACAAGACGTTTCTTCTTCAAATATTTAGTGACACAATGATTCAAAAACCTGTTTTGCAGGTTTGCTGGAGATTTTTGCAGAACTCTGGGATTTTTTTTTAATTTGTGATTAACTGAATGGCAGAACTTCTTTCAGTAGGTGGCGATAATTGGGCCTGTACTGGTCTTTCTTTGTCATTATCTCAAGAAAAAGATTATTATTTTCCCTGATCATTTCATTGCACAACGTTGCAATGCAACTCTCTCTCTTGCTATGGAATCTAAAAACCAACTAATCTGTGGCCGTGTCTCCTACCCTGGCCTGTATGATTTGGACCAGCCCCAAATCTGCTGTTGACCGTATCATCTGTCTTTGGGACTTCATTCTATTTAAACTGAAACGTGTCCTGAATATTTCCTTTTCTTGTTTCTGTTTTTCTACTTCTTTCCCAAGTACTTTAGAATTTCTTCCCATGTTCTCTCATAATGTCTTCTCTTGGTTTTTAATTGAAGAATAGGGAACTAGGAAGACTGCTAGAAAGATGATTGGACAATGCCATGCCTCTGTTTAAATTTCCTATAATGCTTTGGAGCAATGCTACCTGATGGGCATTTTAGGAAATTAAAATGAGGGCTCATCAGTGCTGATGCCAGGCCTGGTCTCTTACCCTAGAACTGACATTTCTCAGCTCTTTCCACTCAATGTTTTCAATACCCACATCCTCTCCAGATCTTCTAAGGGGATCATCTGGAAATACAAGGGAGAAGGACAGCTTACATTTTGTCCGAGGCTTAAGATCCCGGTTCACTGGAGGGGGTTCCAAGTCTGTGGGAAGTTCAGGCAACGGGCTGGTAAGTTTTTCTGTGTTAACTTCAGCAAAAGCAAAAGCAGCCGAGCCAGGGTTCATGGGAATGTAGCCGTCAGGTGTGCAGTCAGATCCTGGGACAGGCGGGGAGGCACTTGGATGCATGGGGACGTAACTGTCCTCCGAGTTGTTTGACGTGCAGGAGTAGAGAGGGCTAACCCGGCAAGGCTTCACAAAAAGAGAAAGAAGAGGCACAGCGAACAGGGTCAGCAAAACATCTCCAAATCCGAAGTTGGGTGCCATTCAAAAATGTCAGGCATTCAGCAAACCCGCCCATCTTTTCTTGCTGTGTCTGGGATTTTCACAGACCCAGCCTCCTTGGAGCTCTATGGAAACGTTTGATCTGAGGCTGGCCCTTCAAACGGAGGCTAGACATGTCTCTGGGCACTGCGATGGTGACTGCTGGCGATTTCTTTCTTGCCTGGCCCTGCCTCTATACCTGTCCGAGATGCAGATCTAGATTAAGAGGGTCTCCAGGTTCCAATTTGTCCAGCACAACCAGGACGGACAGGAAGGTAGCAATTACCACCTGTGAAGGTCTTTTACTCAGTTGATGGCCTCCAGCCAATCCCCCAAACCTTGTTTTCCCTGCTGGATGTCACTGACTGTTCTTCCCTGAATGAGTAAAAAGGGGGCAAGAGGAAAGAGAAGGAGCCGTAACCTACAAGTCTAGGGAAAGAGGGCAAGTTAAAGGAGAGATGCTAGTGAGAAGGCACGCACAGGCCCCTGAGGGCCTCTGGGCCAAGGATGGCCACCTCATATTAATCTTGTGTTTTGCTTTAGGCTCCTTTCTCCATAGCAAACTCAGCTGAACTGAAGCACTCGCGTCCTTTGCCACTGGCCATTGTTGGGAAACGTAGTCCAGTATCAGCCATAGGTAGGAAGACCACAGTGACAAAGACGAATGCTTTGGGCTAGAGGTTGCAGGGCACTTTTCCCTGTGAGAACGGTCTGAGGACTCAATAGCTACAGGATGGCAATGAAAGCTTTCTCAGCATTCGGAATCTGCATGGTTCAGCATCGCACTCTCAACTTTTGCAGTTCTTTCGGTTTAACCACAAGATGGGCTATGAGCTCCTTCCCTTTCCTTCCTTGCCATCCCATTGCTCCCAGATCTATACAGACCTCGAGCCTACGTTCTGGCAGTGATGCAAGCTAGGCAGAAGAAGACTCCCCAATCAATATTTTAATGCAGTCGTATCTGGCTTGCATTCATTTGTTTCCAGCACAAAATGTTGGACTGGTAGGAGATTTCTGAACTGGTTAATCATAGATTTACGGGGGCGGGGGGGGGGGGTAATCGTACGAACGTGAAGGATA